TAGATGAGGAAAAGAATCATTTCATATTTCTTTTCAGTGAAATGGGGTTGCAACAGAACAATTTGACTTTTCTTTTGAAGTATTTTGGTTGATGACTATACATTGACATTTATAAACTTTTCTTTTGCAATATAAATGAATGTAAATAAACCATATTTTAAATGAGAGATAAAACATTTAAATAAAATACTTTTTAAACTTATTAAAGTATATAGAAAATTTGATATATGTATAAATCATATAGTATATTTATTTGTTATATATAAAATAAATAGGAAACATAACATTTTATAGTTTGAACTTATACGCGTAGACGAAAATTTGAACGTAATTCTAGACTTACCTTCAAAACTTCGATTTCGTTTTCCTGTCGATCTTTAGAAGATTCGCAGAACATATTTCCCACAAATTTTTTCACATGATGTTCAATTAAAATGATAACGAATTCTTCATGAAATTTTCTAAACTATGGAAACAAAACTAATACCCGTAAGTACAACATTATTTTCATTAGTTTTTATATATAAGTAACACATCAAACAAAACTTTTAACAAGCAACGGTTTCAAAACAGTTCACAAAACTAAATACATTTGCCACTTCCTTTCAACGAACGCTACGAACATCCTACGCATTGCTAGGCTAGAATACTGTGCCATGCACACAAAACATTATTTACACACATCATGCATAGCTATTGTAACATAGCTATTGTATTTGCGGGAATTTCAAATTTCAAACAGTACTGTTGATATTAACATATTACTATGTTGTATTATACGTTAAGAGCATCTACAATGTTGAATGTTTAATATTATTATATGTTTTTAAATTATATAACTAATCGTAAATCTATTGCCAGCAACCATGATTAAACTATTATAATAAGATAATTTATATAACTTTGAAAGATTTAAAAACTTTTAAGGAAGTTAAAGAAATTTAGAAACAGTAATTTTTTTATGATGAAATATAAAAAAATATATATCCAATAATTAAATGGAATACTTTAGAAAAATATTCTTAAAAAATATAATTATATTTCCTCTTTGATATTATTGTCAGATTTAGTACAATATTATATAATTTATATGTATATTGTTTATATAATAATATCTCTTGAATTCAATGTATTCCATTATTAAATTCAAATTTAAGAAATTAGCAATTACATGTAAACAAATCAAATTAAAAACTACAATGGTGATTAAATACATATACATTATCATCCAAGTTTGCTTCAACCAAATACATGTAAAACGCTTGGTAGTGTACTTTGTGAGCAAATTTATGTCAATTTGGTACAATAACATCGCTTTTGGTTCGCATGGTGGAAATGGATGGCTTCGTATTTGGGAACAGCGCTTTGCGTTGCCAAATCAATGACAAACTTGGCGCACTCTTATAGCGAAACGTTTCGTTTGAAGAGGGCAGGTCGGTAGCAATTCATATGCCACATGTGGCTGTAAGATTTGGCCTGGATTTGGCCCATATTTGGCATGGACAAGGAGTTAATGTCAAATCCGGTGTGCGGATGGCTCGCTATTTGACGTAACATCATATGATTAGATTCATGTCAAATTCAAGACAAATAGCTTAAGTACATATCTTTTAAATACATAAACTTCAATTACATGTAATTAAAAGAGCTTACTAACAAATTTGTGTCAACAAGAAAACAATTTTATAAAGTACATAGTATATGTATACATATTTTGAGTGTGTATTTACAAAATAAGAATGAAGTAACGCAATCAATTATTTTCAAATAATTCGTTTCAAAAAATGCATCAAATGAAACTTACTCTGTTTCGAGAGGAGCTGTACTTTTTTGAATGCAAACGGATTTTTATTTAAATTCAATTGTCCTATAATATTTTGGTCTTTGAAGATCGTTCAAGATTATTTAATGCTGTTTAAATCTTTGTTAAACGCTCCAAAAGTTCTATCATCCTTCAACAACAATATTTAGGTCAATGAATTGACCTTGAAGTGCACTATCCGTTTACATAAAGAAACAGTTCCGTTAAGAAAGACCGAGGTCACCATGAAATTTCGAAAGCTTGTCCACCCAGCAAAAATTTGTGAACATTATAGGATGTCCCCCACGAAACAGGGTAAATTTCATTTGACACATTTTTCCAAACAAACAGCTATAATTGAGGAAATAATTGAGTGCGCTATTTCAAATGGAACACTCTGTATACAGAATTAAATTAAAAATGATCAATGCCAATATGTATGGACATGAGCAACAATCTTTTTTGGTATACATTTAATTAAAAATGTATTAAAGAAATAAAAAAACATTTAATAGGTAAACTTAACAATATGCAACTTAAATAAATATAAATTTACAATATGTGTCCTACTTTTAAACTAAAGTCGATTTGTTGTGACAGTGACATACACAAATACATATTGTATTAGTGACATCTTCAAATCGTCACCATATGTTACAAATGCATACACTTTATTTGATACCTGTTATCAATGGTCTAACCTGACGTAACATAACCTGTATTTTTTGTCTACGTTTAATGGGTTATATCGTGCGTTAAACTGGAACTAGTATTTGACAAGAATTTTTTGTAAAAACAGTTTTTAAACAGTTTTAAAATTTCAAATCCTATTTTTTAAATAAACAAATACAAGGTTTAGCTTTATTCTGCTCTAAAATCCGAATGTCTCATTACAGTGTGCTGGCAAAATTTGGATAACGACTGTGTACATAAATCTTTCCATTTTAACTGTGTAAGAGTTAAATAGTGACTGCAAAATGGTTCTCGCAGATTTAGGTCGCAAAATTACATCTGCTTTGCGATCTTTAAGCAATGCAACTGTTATCAATGAAGAGGTAAGTATTTATTTCTGAACATAACCTAAACTTTAATTTTGACATACAGATAATAATAAAAACATTTAAGCAATATGGAAAACACTGTTATTTTATAATTTTGTAATTTATTTGTTCAACAACATCTTTATTTTCGGAGATAAATAATATAGTTACAAGAAACATAGATTTTTGTTAGTAATAAAATTTTTATAAATATGTAAATATAAATATTAAATGACATTTTATGTTTTCCTATTGTAAGAAAAATGTTGAATTAATATTTAAACAAAATAATAATTCATGAATTGTTTACAAATTATTCACA